ACAAATGCCAACCTAAAGATAAGGCAGTTCTGATTGAGATAATGTGCTATTCGAGAAAGTGTTTCCTAAGGCCCTGCTAGATTCTTATGTCTTCTTTGGGATTTTCCTCCTTTGCTTGAAAACCAAATAAGTACAGGCCACCAAGGGAAGTTCTTGGTCAGAACCTAGAGAATCTCAAAAGTCGTGAGAGGGATGTTGGACCCTCCTGGAGTCCTAAAATCATGTCACCTTTCTCGTTTATTTACCCCTTCAGGGCTGAAGATATAGCTCAGCAGCACAAGCACCTGCCTGGCAAGTGCAAGGTCCCTAGTTCAATTCCTGGTACCAAAAAAAAAAAAAAAGAGAGAGAAAGAGAGAATTATACTTTAAGTCTGCAGTCCACTCATTTGGGAGAGTGTGGGCCTGACTAGACCTCAACAGCTAAGGGATATTATTAATCCAATAAACGTACACATTTAATGTAATTCGCATCAGAGATTATTATTTAATGTAAAAAATTTGAAGTATATTACACATTTAGAAATTACATGTTTACGAATTTCCTTTAAAATCATTGTTTCAAAATCTAGTGAACCAGCTGGGCTGAGGAGATGGCTCAGTAGAATAAGCACTTCCCTGGCGAGCACAAGGGCCTGAGTTCAATCCTTGGTTCCAGAAAAAAAAAAAAAAAAATTCTAGTGAACCCACTAGGCCAAGCAGATCAGGTTTTGCACATTCGGAGTGGCGCTGAGCTGAACGACCCTGTGTGATGGGATCTTGCTTCTGTCTGCGGAGGGGCGGTGACAGTTGGGAGACTCTGGACTCCAGCCATGGGGTTGGCATCCATCAGGGCCAGCTGTATGGTTCCAGGTGGGTTACGGCCGCTTTACAGGCCTAGCATTTCTCGCCTGAACACCAAGGAAGGATCCTGATTGTCAGGCAAGACTGAGGCAAGCTTGCATTACAGAATGACAGTGACAATGTCAGGAATGGGGCCTGTGTGTGTTGACCTTCAGTGAGCACTGTTTGGCTTACACCCCTTGGGGAACCGCAGTTACCACGAACAAAGCCAGCACGTAGAGCTACGCAAGCATAATTTTAAAAATTTTAGCACCTTTTAAAAACTATGAGTAGAATAAAACCCATATACAAAATAATGTTAGGGTGAAGGTACCTTTAGCCTTGTCAAAATGAAAACTGTAGATTTTTGCATTTGCAAGGGAACCACGCAGTGCGTCCACAAGGACACACCGTGACCACAGAGCTGTGTGAGGTGCTCAGAGAATTAGACCAAGCAAAGCCAAATAAATGCTCAGCTTGCAGTATCAGTCAGAGGAAAATGGAACCTTAAACAAATAAGAAAGTTCTCCAAAGCATTTTTACCTTTGGCTTCTATTCTCCCAGAATGTGACATACAGCATAAAGCGGAGACAGCAGGTGAGGTTACCGCTTACCCAACTTGAAAACTGTTAAGAAGCTTTCTGAGGACTCACCGTCCTGAGTGTTTTGTGGGTTGTTTTGGTTTGGTTTGATTCGGTTTGGGAGGGGGGTTGGTCTTTTTGAAAAGACAGGGTCTCGCTATGCCGTTCAGGCTGGCCTTAAGCTCACTTTGTAGCCCAGACTGGTCTTGAACTAGCGATGACTCTTCTGCCTCAGTCTCCCAAGTGCTGGGATTACAGATGTGCCATCACTACAGGTACAGAGGGAACAAGAATATGACACGGGCCACTGTGCCTCGTTGTTGCTAACTCGGGGGTCCTTGGGCAGGCACAGAACAGAGGGATTGAACCAGGGCCCACTGTGCCCCTGAAGTCACTGGCGCTCAGGACCGGAGACTTGCCACTCCTCCTTCTCCTCCTTCCACGGACTCCAGCGTGGCTTGCAGCCTGATCCGTGCTGCTTCCCAGCCCTATATCTAGGGAGGGAGGGACAGGATTAACAGGAGCCAGGTCCAGCAGGCCACCGCCCTGAGGAGGGATCCACCGCAGCCGGGAGCAGAGAGCTGGGGCAGGCCCGGGGTCCTGCCTGCCATCCGGTGAGTACCAGCCGAGGGCCTGGTGATGAGCTGCAGACTTTAAGACAACAGTTCTGCAAGCCAAGGTGGGGCCTGTTGCTGGCCAAGAGCAGACTCCGGCTTGCAGGGCAGGAAGGAGAGAAGCTGTTTCCTGACTTCAGCCCCCACTCAGCAAGGGCTCTGTGTAAGCGCCACGGTGGCCTCATCACGGTCCGGGGCTTTGCTCCAGGGTAAACTGAAACCCCACTGGCAGCCGCTGTAGGCCACCTGCCTAGAGGAAGGCCACCCTGGAATTGTGTCGGGGGTCCCAGGCCAGCCGAGAGCCACCTGATTTCAGGGTCACCTGGAACCGCCTTCTGCTGATCACAGGGCCGGGGTCTGCAGAGACACAGTGCAAGCTGTCAGCGGACGCACGGGTGGCTGGATCTGCAGGGCAGAGCACACACACCCACCCGCCCCGCATCCTCGGCAGACTTATGCCAACACAGAGCCCCGTGTTACAGTCTCGATCACAGACGAGTCCCACAGCCCTTACCAGCCAGGAGGGCAACCATGCAGCAGTCCTAGGCTCAGGGAGGCCCTGGCTGGTCAGAGCGGTGGCAGCGCCAGCAGGGCACCTGGGCACAAGGCTGCCTGGACCCATCACCGTGACCATCAGGCCATAGCAGGGGCAGAGGCGGCTCCTCTGAGGTCCCTGGATCTCAGTGCCCTGGCCCAGAAGTTCCACAAAGCGTCACCTGCTCCGCATGACAAGGCGGTGTGATCATGGAGACACAGGCAGCCCCTGTGGCCCGGCACAGCCAAGCCCGAGGCTGCTGTGCACCCTCTGAAGGCCTGCGGGACCCGAACCTCAGAGCACAGGGACCAGCGGCAAGGGAGAGGGACGAGGTCCAGAAACCTCATGGGGTTGCTGCAGCCGCATGGGGGCCAGTGGGAGTGTGTGGGGACGCAGGAGAGAGCTGGACTCAGGAGCGAGACATGTCCCTGGCCCGCCAGGACATGTTGCCCTCGCCTGCACAGTTGGCCCAGACCTGGTGTCTGCAGAGAGCCCGTCATGCTGATGGAGCCTGTCATGGCCACGTGGGCCGCAGACCTGGGCCACAGACCTGGCCGGATCCAGGGGCTGACCCATCTGCTGCCCAAGGCTGGAGCGTGCCCAGTCCTGATTCCTTCTTCCCACAGGAGATCGCAGCCAGCTGGGTCTGCAAAGGAGGGCTGACAGTGCAAGCTGCCTTTTTGGCTGTGGCTGCAGGCTCAAGACCACTTAGTATAGAGAGGAGGCTCCCTGTGTCCCCAGGCTGTTGTCCACCAGGAAGAAAGCTCTCTGTGGGAGGAAAACGTAGCCTATGCTACGACCCGATCCCAGTCTGCAACCCAGAACCCCCAAGACAGGACAGGGATAGCAGAGCCCCACGTGGGCAACGCCCCTGGGCCCCTGTGCAGTCTGAGCTGCCCAGAGAGTGCCCTGGCCTGGTACACATGTGCCACAGTTTATCCCCAGAAGAAACAAACCCAATGTCCCACATCGCAGCCCCTCCTGGGTAACCAGCAAAAAGAACAAACCTCTAGAAGATTGGGTAGCGGGGTACACAGATGCAGCCATTAGCACCCCAGCCTCAGCACGAGGCATGACAGGAGGTGCTGTCCCCTGTGCTGGCAGGCTCCAGACACAGCCTGGCTCTGCGGCCTCCTGGCAGCACTGAGCTGGCCAAGCGGGGAGGGCAGGAGGCCAGGCCCAGGGGGCTCAGGAGACCAAAATCAGGGCAGCCCTGAGACAGTGCAGCAGGAAGCCTGCCCTCCTAGGCAAGTGCACTGGGGAGAGATAGGACATTCTCCTGCGTGGTGAAGGTCGGGGGACACCTGTCAGGCACAGACAGCTCATTCACGCTACACAAGCGCCTAACCAACCAGCCGGACTTGTTTCTCTCATTTCATGTTCTGCAGAAAAGGTCAAACCTGCAGGAAAAGTGGAAGGTGTGCAAGCCCTGTCCTAGGCACACCAAGGCTGCACTGCACACCACACATACCAGCATGTGCACGGCACATGGGGGCACTCCCGACACACACAGGGTCATCAACCATCCGCAGAGCCAGAGCTGTGGCCACGGTGACTCTCTCCAGAGCGGCACAGTCTCTTCTACAGGGGCACCTGGTGCACAGCGTCTCACAGCTGTCCCGCCTCAGAATCCAGTCATCCTTGAGCACGGCCTTCTGTTGTCTCTTCAGTGTCTTCTAAGGGAGAAACTTCCTCTGGGCACAAACCCGTTTCCTGCGGCGGTTAGCTCCCACCAGGTGTTGCTTCTTGCAGCGGCTCCAAGCCTGAGCCCTCCAGGACGCCCCACCCTCCAGCATATCCAGCCACAACCCGGCGATTGAGTTCCCTAGAGCAGCCGGCCAACACATACCGGCAGCCCCACCCTCCTGCCCTCCCTGCAGGCTCAGGGGGCCTGTCCCCCCTCTGCTCTGACAAAGAGCTAACTCCCCTTTGGGACCCTGGCACACACTATGTGAATCTCCTGCTGCCTTTCAGTGGTTTCTAGTGTCTTTGAAATGTGTTACTTCTTTATCCTTTGAAATGTAAGGGAAAAAAATTTAAGATAAAAACATTTTTTAAACTAAAAAGGAAAGAAACCTGTGTTTAAAAGTACCTATGAGAGGGGCTGGGGGGATAACTCAGTAGAATAAGTGCTTGCCTGGCAAGTGCAAGGGCCTGAGTTCCATCCCGGGTTCAAGAAGGAAAAAAAAAAAAAAAAGCCCTATGAGAGACAACGGATTTCTCAGGCCCAATGGGTTCCTGTCTGGAAACATGGGGGCCCAGCTACACCCAGGAGGACTGAGGCACACTTGGTACCCTCCCCCGGCAGCAGGTGCTTGACCCTTAAACAGGCCCAAGGGGGCTGTGACTCGTTGGAAAGGTGCAGCGTGGTGACCACTGAGTAAAGCTGGTGGCCAGAGGCAGCGGCAGCGCCGTCTAAGCTCTAGCTTCACGCCTCCCTTGGGTTACAAACAGTAGGACTCCCGACTCCTCAGAGTCTCTCCCTACCCTCCAGAGTACCGGAGCCCCCTAAGAGGGACTTCTGGGCTCTCCCGGAAAGGACTCTGGTTTCCTCTCTTTACGAATATCCAGACCCACCAAATGTCCTTGGAGAACATGGAGGGGAAATGCCTGCGGCCAGAAACCAAGGATGTGAATGGCGTGCTCATGACCAAGTTCATCAGCGACAACTGGGACACGATCTGGAGCTTCCAGGCCAGGCCTGACGACCTCCTCATCGCAACCTACGCGAAGGCAGGTGGGTGAAGCCCAGGGGAGGACGCTGCCCTGGAGGCAGCTGGGACGCCCTGAACAGCCCTGCGTGAGAGAAACTGAGGTTCCACGAGGGCTGGGACCAGAGAGAAGACTCCGCCAGCCGTGAGCTCCTGGGTCCCCCGGCCGCAGGGCGGCGGAGGGCAAGCGCAGGGTGCGGGCTGAGACCAGGCTTGCGCGGCGGTCCCGTCCGCGACCTCGGCTGAGCCCAGACCCCGGAGCGCGGCGGCCCGGGATCGAACAGCGGCGATCCGGACGGCCACGGCGGCCCTCGGACCTCAGGCAGCGGGGCCCGCGCCCTGGCTGCGCCCCGTGGGCGACTTGCGGCACAGCAGGGGAGCTGGGCGCACCCCGCGCCCGCCCTCCAGGCCGTGCCCGGGCTGCACCCGGCTCTGCTCCACGCTCCCGGCGGCAGGCCGGGTCTCCGCACCTGCTCTGCGCGCACTGCTGCCGGCCGACCCTGGCTGCCCCGCGGCCCCTTCTCCTGGACGCCCGCCGCGGCCGCCCGCCCCCCGCGGCCCCCCATGGTCCTCGCGGCTGCGCCCCTGCACCGGCCGGGCGCCTCCCATTCCGCCGCTGGGTTCCTCCGCCTCCGGCCCAGCCTTTCGCGTCCCCCGGGGTTCCCTGGGCTTTCTGTCCCTGCAACCAAACTGAATCCTGGCCCGGAACGGGGCTGCGAGCAGCTCTGGACCCGGCAGACGGGTCCTCTGGACAGTTCCCCAGCCAGGAACCTCCTCCACCACGCTCGGTGTCTCTGGCTCACAGCTCGACCCACGTGAGACACACGTGGATGAGAGGCTGAGAGGCCTCACTGTCGTCAGCAACTCTGGCTTTCTCTAAATTTCTGTGTCCCCGGCTTAAGGTGGCTTTTTATTTTAGAGCCCAGTGCGATGGCCCCAGCTCCGGCCATCACATGCATATTCCAAATAGCAGCAAGAAAGTAAAAATGGAGGAATAAAGTTATTTTACTTTCCTTTGAAGAAAATGTCACAGAATTTAGTGGCTGGCCCCATCTCTAGCTTTGAGAAAGACTGAATAATGTAGCCCTTGCCACAAGCAGCTAGTGCCCACCTAATGTCTGACTATCTCTTCACTTGAAAGAAGACAGGTGGAATCTGGCTAGAAGTCCCCCTGCCGTTCTCTCTGGAAAGATAGCCAGGTGTGGTGGCACACGCGGGAGGCTGAGGCAAGAGGATCTTCCCAGATTCAAGGTCAGCTTGGGCTGCAAAGACAAACCTCCACTCAAAAGAAGAGAGGAATGAGGCACCCAGGCTCGTTAGAGTGCACTGTGAGCTCACCCTGCACCTTGCTCCATCCACTTGCCCCGTACTCAGTCAAGACACATTGTTAGGGGCAGAAGGAGGATACCGGGGTGCCAAGCAGCACCTGCTGTCCACAGAGGGACAATGAGCACAAGGCGCCCCGCCAGCCCGGGTGCCGCAAGGAGGGGTGACCGCCTGTTGAGGCTGCGAGTGGCATTGAGGCCTGGGTGACCGAGGCCCTGGAGTAAGTCGTGCCCACCCTTTCCAGGCACAACCTGGATGCAGGAGATCGTGGACATGATCCAGAATGGCGGGGACCTGCTGCAGTGCCAGCGGGCCAACACCTATGACCGCCACCCTTTCATCGAGTGGATGCTGCCGCCACCCCTCAAATCCGGTGAGGGACCAAGAGCAAACCTGGCCATTTGGCCTTTAGGAGATCTCTCCATGTGGGCATGGGAGGCGAAGGCGGCCCAGCGCTTTTCCTGAAATACAGGAGCTGGTACAGGAGAGACACCAGCTGCTTCTGGCGCTTGGGAAGGGCCCGAACACGCAACTCGGGAGCAGAGCTCCCCAGAGCTCAGCTCCCCCAGACCTCAGGGTAAAGACCTGCGCTCAGTGCCGTTGGGACTCTCTTGGACGCCCAGCACCAGATTCCCTGGCCAGTGAGGGGTCCCCACACATGCAGCGGACAGGGCCCCCTGCCTCCTCCATGCTTGTTCAACTCCAACCCTGATTGGAAGGAATGCCTGCCTCTTTCCTGCCATGATGGAACCCCCAGGCGCGGGCTGTAAACCCCAGACCCTGCCAGAGGAAGTCCTTCCTTCTGTAGCTTGGTCAGCTCAGGGGTCTGCCGAGTGCAGGACACTGGCTGAGGACCGTGGTCTGCATGCAGTGGGCTTTCTCAGCCGAGAGACAAGGACAGCTGCCTTCCACAGGCCTGTGCAGAAGCGAAGCACAGTGTCCCAAGTAAGAGGCAGACAGACAGACAAAACAGACACACATCCCTGCTCTCTGCAGAAGCAGGAAGCTGACTGTAGCACAGAGTGGAGCAGAGGCGTGGAGGCTGTTCAGCCGGGTGGGGTCGGGGGACCAGAAGCGAAGTGCAGTGAGAGAGGTGAGACTGTGTGCTGGGCACCGCGGGTGACACTGCCGGGACAGCCGCACCCTGAGATCCCTGATGAGCTGGAGGAAAGGAGTCCAGAGAGTCCCAGCACAGGGAACCGCGTGACTGGTGTTTACAGAGGCAGAAGTGCTTAGCCTCGCCCCTGGGGCTGCACGCTGCGCTGGCCCTGCATGTGGGAGGGACGCATCCACTGAGAAAAGCCGCTTCCAAAATCTAAAAAGTCACTTTCCTGTGCATTCTGCTGCCAGCCCATAGAGTTTATTTGTCCAAATATATCTTACCTATAACTTGTCTATCAAATTATCAGTATTACACAAGTAAAATTAATGAAGTAAATAGTCAAATAGTCACTGGTCAGTAACCCGTGGTAAGAAGTCAGGGACTGCGGAATCCAACAGTCCAGAGAAATGCTGGTCCAGATCTTATCACAGTGACCACTCATCCACTTTGGCCCACTATTGATGGCTGTGTTTCAGAAGGGTCTCGTGTGGCTGCACAGAGGTTGACCCTTAAATGACTTGAGTCCCTCCCATGTGCTGCCGTGACCGCTGCTGCTGCCGCCGAGGGGTCCACGTCTCTCATGAGCCCTCCTCCCAGGTCTGGATCTGGCAAACACAATGCCATCCCCCAGAACACTGAAGACACACCTGCCTGCCCAGATGCTGCCGCCCTCCTTCTGGAAGGAAAACTGCAAGGTGAGGAGGGCGGTCCTCCAGCCCCGCACCCACCAGCACAGCCAGGAAGTGTCCCTGCCTGGGTAGCACCCCACAAGGATGAGAAGGGAGCAAGCACGGGACTCAGGGTACACGGTGGTGTCACCCTCCAGCCCGCACCCCACCAGGGCCCCCCTTCCGTTCAGAATATGAGACTGGGCACACATCCGGAAGTTTGGGGCAAGTTATTCAGGTAGTCTGCCAAGTGCACCACTTTGCTCGTAGTGCTGGATGACACAAAGTAGGTGTGGTGGCCAAAACTAACCTGGCTGGCTGGGGAGCCCCAGGGATTAGAAAAGCACACTCTGGGTGTGCCTGGTGGGCTCTGGAGCCAGGGCCCTGGGGCCCTGTGTGGTCCCTGCCCGTTCCTCTCTGTGCGCTTGCCCCGTCCTGCTCTCTGGCTGCTGAGAAGGGCACAGCTGTGCTCCATGACACCCGTCCACCCACCATGATGTCCCTGCCTTGGAGCCAACATACCATGGGCATACCCCAACCCATGAGCCAAGTGAACCTCTCCTCTTTGTGGGTGTTGGGAAGTCCATCCCAGCAACTGGAAAGCTGGCTGGTAATGGGTTTCCTGAGCAAGGCTGCCCAGCAGGACAACGCAGCAACTCAGTGAGACTCTGTCTCAGAATATGAAATTCTTGAAAGGGCTGGCAATGAAGCTCAGGGTGGAGGCTTTGGGTTCAATCTCTAATACTGAAGAAAAAAAGCCATACATAGCGCAGCCCTGCTGTCAGCAGGATCGGCTCGCCCTCCTTCTCCTCAGGACAAGCTGCCAGAGGCACCCATCACTGGGAGGCTGTGAGAGACAAGGCTGAGGTTAGAAGGGGTCTCGCAGCTGAGACAACTGCAGACTCTCCTCCCCTTGCACCCTGGAACCTTCAGGTCCCATAGCCAGGAAGCCCGTCCTTGGTGCGGGCTCCCAGGCAAGAGCAAGCCATGGCTGTTTGCTGGTGTCCATGACAGCCCTTAGCATGTCACTGCAATGAGGGTCTTGAGATAGGGTTATCCTGGGCTTCTGGGGCCATCACCACTCTGAGGGTCTTCACTAGAAGGAACAAGGCAAAGGAGGTGTCGCCGCTGAGGCAAGGAGTCAGTGCGAGTCTAGGAGAGGACTGGAGGAGTGAGAGCCGGGGACTACAGGAGACTTGGGAGGCCAAAACTGACATGGAAATGAGCGTTCCTGGGGCCCCACAGGAACCCAGCCAGTGAAGCCTCCAAAGCGCAAGAGAGAGAGCTATGTTGCACTAAGCCGCGGAATTCCCTGCCATCGGTTACCGCAGTGGCTGGAAGCTGACACAGATCAGCAGACTCCAGCAACCGCCTGGTGGTGGAGCCTGTGCCGCAGCACCTTTCAGTGTGTTCCTGCCCTGCCCCAGTTTCCCATCTCCAGGGTCGCAGGCCAACAACCAGCATAAGAATTCTGAGACATCACACAAAACGGGCTTGCACATTCGGAACACTCTGCTGTCCCCGCGTCCTTTAGGGTCTGCCAAGTGCTCTCATGAACATGGGCTGGAAATCCAGCCACAAGGGGAGCAGAGAAGTAGAGTCACACAGGGCTGAGAGACGGACAGTGGGGATGCAGCTCAGGAGGCAGGGCTGGGCTGCTCCCAGGAGGAAAAGCCCCAGTGCCACGTGAGACCCTGGAGACAACCATCAGTCAGCAGAGCCCCAGACTCGGGGGCCTTCAAATTGGTGAGGTTCGTGCTGGCTCGTAGCACCGAGGTCCAGTCCAAGATGGGGAGGCTGCCTCTCTTGAGGCAGAGCAGGGTGAGGAAGAGCCAGGCCTCACAGTCCCCTCTGAGGCCCCTCTGGGTGACCCAGGGGCCTCTCTCTAGGCCTTGCCTCCTGCAGGTTCACAGTGCCCCCGACAACCCCTGAGGATCATGCCTCACCCAGGGGCCTAGGAACAGCTGCCCTGTGGAGAACAGGGGAGGAGGGGCAGCAGGCCCGAGACTGAGTCCTCTGTCTGCTCCCAGCCACCCCAGGCCTCTGCAGGAGAAAGCCCCACCCCACTGGCCGGGAGGACTCAGTACCGCCTCGATCTCCTCAGCCCCCAGAAGGCTGAGGGTGGCATGTGGAATGACAGGGCAGGCTCACTGCTGCCTGGGCTCCTCCCAGCCCAGAACTCCTTGCTTAGCAGAGCCAGCACCTCTATTCCACAGGCTGAAACCACCATGCCCTGTGGTACAAATGAGGCGAGCCCAGATCCACACACTGGCGCCCAACGGTGCAGGCAGCGACCAGTTCACAGGGTCTCCGGAAGGGGATCAGAAGACTTAGGGATGCGGCCATCTGTCTGCACGGAAGCAGCCTCGCCACGGGCCAAACTTGCAGACACCTTGATCTTGCACTCCCTGGCCTCAGGAGGTAACCACAGAAGCAGATTCTGCTGCTTTTGAGGCTCCAGTACACGCAGTGTTTCGTCGAGCAGACCTAGGGGCAAGAGCAGAGTAATACAAAGCAGGTCACCTTCAAGGCAGCAAACAGGGAGGATGCTGTGAGCACAGCTGTAACTCAGAGCTGTTTCGGGGTGACTGGAGGATGTGGCCTCGGGGCTGAAAGCACCCACTATCTGTCCCCAGGTGGACCAGCCCAAATCTACAGAAGGCTCCCCAAGGACTGGCCAATGATGTCCCTGTCTTGTTTTTGTCGTTGGTGACCCCAGATCATCTACGTGGCTAGAAATGCCAAGGACTGCCTGGTGTCCTACTTCCATTTCTCCAGGATGAACAAGATGGTGCCCGACCCAGGCACATGGGAGGAGTACATCGAGGCCTTTAAGGCTGGGCAAGGCAAGTGAGAGAAAACTGGGCTCCTATTACTCACCTTCTCCCACATCAGGAGAGAGGTGTCCACCACTCAACAGGTCCACTGCGGACCCACAGTCCTGCAGATGATGCTGCCAGTCATCTGGGAAGACTCTGTGGGCAGACTTTAGGGGAACAGATGAGAGCTGGTAGAGCTTCAGGGGCTCCCCACACCCCTGGAGACAGGAGGGGGCCCCTTGACCTCAGCCAGAGCCGAGACATCTTGTGGAAGACATGTGGGCCAATGTGAGACAGCAAGCCCACGGGAGAACCCAGGAGGTGGCACCCATCCCTCCACTCCTCCTACCCCTGCAGGTCAGGGCAGCTCAGTGGCCCCCTGTGGGTCAGCTGGCAGCCATGAGCAGGTTGGCCAGTGCCCAGAGCTCCTTGCCCTCCATTACCACTCCAGACCTGGCCACAGGCCGGGGCACTGCAGGTTCCCAAAATCAGTCTTTGCTGAATCACCGTGCTGGAAACATCCACTGCATACAATTGATCTGTGCACAGTGCAGCGTGGGAGGGAGATGAGGACCCCAGCCCCAGCCATCTCTCAAGGAAGAATCCAGGACCTTTGTCTTCACATCCTAAATATTAAAAAAAAAAAAATGCCTCTGTCTTCTCCAGCAAGAGTTCCACTCTGACCTTTGTCTTTATTGACACCCTCTTTATCTGAGCCCACTGTGTTCCTGTGGCAAGATTCGAGCTGGCCCTTGACACCATCTCTCTCTCCACAGTGTTGTGGGGCTCCTGGTACGACCATGTGCAGGGGTGGTGGGACCGGAAGAACAGGCACCGCATCCTCTACGTCTTCTATGAGGACCTGAAGGAGGTGAGGCCATGCAGCCCCATGGAAGCCCCCAGCCCAGGATGGATAATCCCGGCGAGGGCCTGAGCGGGCTGCATGAGGCACACTGTCCTGTCCTGCCTGGGCTTCCTCCAGCTCAGCTTTGTCCTCAGGAACTCTTCCCTCCCTTGGCCTTCTGCACTGCCCAGGCATCCTTCCTCGTCAGGAGAAGCCCAGCCCACGAGGCCAGGTCAAGCTGTAGGACCCACAAGCCTTGCCTGTCTGCTCAACCTGGCACGGTCTCTCTCGGGAAGTTGTGTTGTGCAGTCGTATCTGTACAGCTGTGTCCAAGCAAGCTAGGCTCTGTCTCCCTCAGCCCACCCAAACGCCCATGCACACACTGCGCCCTCACACTGACACGCACAACACCCCTGCCCTGGGTGAGTGCTGTTGCAGATCCACTCCCAAGATCCCTGGAGCAGCATCCCCGCACCGCTCAGAGTGCAAAGGGACCACCTGTGCCAACCCTGAGAAGTCCTCTGAAACATAGCTGGAAGCCTCATTCCTTGTCTTTTTGGGTCTTTCATCAGAAAGAAGCAAAGGATGTTCTTTCTGGCCACCTTCCTATCGGTCTCTGTGAAGCTCACAGACACCTTTCGTTGCTTCTGACAACCTGGACACAAGTTCCTCTCCCAAGCCTGTCGCCTTGCCCATCTCCCCGAAGGCCCCTCCCCAGGTCTGCTGGCTGTCCTGTGCGTGGCTGTCTGAGCTGGCCTCACGTTTTCTCTCCAGCAGAACAGGCACCTGGTGGCAGAACAGTCCTGTTCCTCCTTGCACCTCTGAGGAACGATTGTGGACCGTGCTTCAGTGGTTCCTTAGCATGTCCTCTCCAGAGAGCTCCCTAACGGGAGGCCCTGGATTCCTTTTTGTGCCACTTTTAGGACCCAAAGAGAGAGATCCAGAAGATACTGCAGTTCCTGGAGAAAGACATCACAGAGGAGGTTCTGAACAAGATTGTCTATCACACGTCCTTCGATGTAATGAAGCACAACCCCATGGCAAACTATACTACCCTCCCGGCCAGCATCATGGACCACTCCATCTCCCCCTTCATGAGGAAAGGTAAGGGCTTCACTCCTGAGTGCCAAGGTGACCTGCGGGTCCTGGTGGCCGCTGAATTCTCCCCGATTTCCATGCTCTTCAGCTTGCTCCTTTCAGCAGTGCCGTTATGCAGCTTTGCAGAGATGCCTCCCTATTTCCTCCTGTCCTCCCCTGCTCCTCTTCTGCAGTCCTCCTGTCTGGAGTGGTGGGCAGGACGCCCACCCGCTCTTCCCTATGCACCAACCACTGGGTCTTGTCTTGCTTCAGGGATGCCTGGGGACTGGAAGAACCACTTCACTGTGGCCCAAAGTGAAGCATTTGACAAGGACTACCAGCGCAAGATGGCAGGAAGCACCCTGACCTTCCGCACAGAGATCTGAGGGCTACAGCCAGAGGGGATCTGCCCCAGGCCTCTTGTAGACTTCACTGGCTCGAGCCTCCAGTCCAGGAGCCTGAGGACAGACCCTTCCTACTGCTGCCATCTACCCTAGGTCCTGGGCAGCTGTGACAGTGGTGCTCGCTGGGGTGAACAGCCCCAGAGACACTCCCTGCTGAGTTAGAGATCAGCCCTATGGCCCTGGTGTGGGGTTTATCTGCCTGCCTGCCTCAGGCGAAATAAACAAAGCTCAACTCCACTGCTCATAATTGCTTGGTTTCTCTCTCAGGGAGAGAGAAAGAGGTGCTTTCCACCCGTGAGCCCGAGGACAGGGACAGCATTGCCCTGGGAGGCGGGTTTGCCCTGGGTGCTCTCAGGCAGAGCATGGGTGGGCACAGAAGTACAGGTCCCAGAGGCTGGGAAGTCCCAGGTCTGAGGCCTATAAAAGAAGGGGCAGGGCCAACCATCCCTCTCAGAAACACTCCACAGCTTCAGTATTGGCCTGGGACAGTCTGTGCTCGGCTGGTCACTCACTCCTGGACCCTCCCCGAGCAGATTTGCAGCACAGTCCACAGAGAGGGCTGAGGCAGGAAGTAGCGGGTCTTAGCATGTGTGTTTACCCAGGGCCAGCACAGCACAGCAAACCAGGCTGACCCTTCGAGCCAGGAGGGGACAGTGAGAGAGGTCCAGGTGGCAGACTCAGGGGACATATGGCAGCTGCCAGTATTAAAAATCCACCCACAAGAGGAGAGGACAGCAGTACCCAGAGGCGGAAACTGACAGATGCACACCAGAGACGGCTGCCAGAGATGGACACCACAGTGGGTCTGTGGTGGCCTGCCCTTCGTTTCCATGGAACTGGTGGAGTGGTCCAGCTGGCAACTAATGGGGCGTCTCTTCAATCACCTGTGTCTCCCCTAACATCAGAGGGGAGCTTTGTCCTTACAGGGCCTTGTTCTTAGAGCCAGCCTGGGAGGCCAAAGCCGCCATGCTACTGTGTGCAGATGAGGGCTTCTTGGCAGGCAGGTTCACCGGGCTGGGGCTCTGTGGGCTCTGCAGGCTGAGGCTGCTCAGGGAGGGAGCCTGAGGAGGGCCCTGGCCCCTCTCTGGGAAGGCTGAGGCCACAGCTCAGGCCATGCAGACACTGTCCTCTGTAGAACTCCCTCCCTGGCTGAGCTGCCAGCCTCCCCGCCCCACTCGAAATCGCTAACGACTGCTTTATCCACACCACCCAGGGATGGCTGTGTGCAGAGGGCTCTGACTCTGACTCCTGTGAGGCTCACCCCCAGCCCGGCCTGGTGACACTGGAGGACACATCCAGCTGCAGCTGGGTTGAGACAGACAGAATGCCCAACACCTGGAGGGCACAGTGAGGGGGGCTCCAGTGAGCCGAGATGTCCCTTGATCAGAGAAGGTCACCACAGGCCACACAGCCCGTGATGGGGACCGGCCTGAGAGCAATATTGGATGCAGGTAGAGGAGGAATCTATACTTCACACAGGGTTCTGAGAAAGAGGAAAGGCATTTCCCACTAGCCCAGGGAAAAATAACTAAAATAAAATATTCAGGGTCTCGTGCATTGTAAGGAAAACTTGAGCTGCTCATCTCTGCCAAAGCGTTTTTTTGAGACAGTAATTATTTTATTTTCTTTTTTATTAATTTTATTGAGAAACAAATAGCAATGAGACAGTTTCAAATCAGGTTAGTAGGACAGTTACAATAATTGATACATTGCATATTGTTGTCTTCGCAGTGGTTATTCATAGTACAAGATGCAGACAGGATATCCTGTCCAAACACTATTAGTACAAGTCTTTCTTCTCATTGAATTAAGAGAAAGAAGCCGTATATCTATCCTAACTATTTTGTATATATAGATACAAAATGGTCCTTCATTTATATGCCCTTTTTTGTTAAGAGAAAAAAATAATACAGAATCTTCAATCAAGAGACTAGGAAATTAATAATGGTTATTATATTACATATTGTTGTCTTTAAAGTAGTTGTTCAGATTACAAGATATAGGCATGCAAAACTGATCGACAGTATAGCACAAGAGGCCATGATAGCAAGTGAAATAAATCAGACATGCAAGCTCAAACATCACGTGGTTTGCTTATATGAAAAATATAAAGAGCAAAATAAAATGAAGAAGATAGGAAGTAGGGAGAGTTTCAAGAAAGGTAAAGGCTAGCAAGAGATGGAGGAGAAGGAAGGAGAAGAAGGTGTTTTTCTCTTTAAAAAAAGAAAAAGATCTGTCTCCTTTTCCTCCTTTTCCAAAGCATCTTTTTTCATACTGCTTTTAGCAAAGGACCCCTAGCAAAATCCTCAGCATTGTCAAACTGGTCAGCTACACAAGTAATTGGACCCTCCCCCAGCACAGTGTGTTCACCCAGGGCCTGCACAGCACAGTAAACCAGGCTGACCCGTGGAGTGGAGGGGACAGTGAGAGAGGTCCAGGTGGCAGACTCAGGGGACAGATGGCAGCTGCCAGTATTTCCTTGTGCCCTGAATGAATTTGTCCTAAGAAAGTGTCTGCTGTCATTGACACAGATTTTGGAAAGAATAACGCATCGCTCCAAAGCCAGGTCAGGGAGGCACCGTGTGGGAGGGGGTTTCCCACTGCACTACAGGGCGCGGTAATTACCGCCCACGCAGTAGAGCTGCCCAGCCTGATGGTGCTCTTTGTCCCAAGATGTGGGTCATTAACCTCCCCACAAACAGCCCTGCAGCAGTGGATACCAAGTGCCAGATGAGCCAGCAGATCAAAGGCAAGTTTTTGTCAGCACCCCAGCAGGGACCACCTGGGAGCCCACAGCTCCTTCCTGAACCTCTGTAGGCCGGGAGAGCAGCAGATGTTGGTGAGGACGTTGGCAACGCGTCCGTCCGGAGTTTCCTTTCTTTTTTTTTTCTTTCTTTCTTTCTTTCTTTCTTTTTTTTTTTTTTTTAGGTTCTGGGGATTGAACTCAGGAACTGCCAGGTAAGCGCTTATTCTACTGCGCTATCTCCCCCGCCCCAGCTAGGCAAAACTTGGCCTTCCTTCTTTTGCAACTATAAAGTTCTTTTTCCTTTAATTATAAAAATACTCTAAAATTATGGTCTCCAAGACTTTCAAGGAATTTCTGAATTTTTCTCTTTCAAAGCTCTGCTGTGTCCTCTCGAACAACATTTGAAGCGCTGTAAAGAAGAGTAAATGGTTTCGTTCAATTTTTAAGTACCTATGGCCTAGCCCCACAAAGTGGTGGTGGAGACCGGACTGCCGCTGCCCCCGCTGACCTGACGTTCTGCGTGAGCGCCCACGCATGCACAAGGAACCTTTGTCCTGACCGCGGGACACATTCACACACACTCCCTGAAGCAGATGAGTCAGGGGAGGTCAGACGCAAATGACTAAGGCCAACTGGTCTCAAGACCACTTGCCTAGGAGGCAAAGACACGATGGGAAGTTTGGGTCACAGAACTGTAGAGTAAGAAATGGGGGAGCAGCAAGGTCACACAGCTTGGCAGCCTCCCCTGCAGGGCGAGGAAACCCGAGTGAGGTGAATGGTGGCCTGGACAGGTCCAGGTCCTGCCAAATGCAGTTGAATGGGGACCCTGGCCCAGGGGCCGTCCCCACCTGGTGTTAGACTCCACAGGCTACAAAGTTCTCCTCTTTGGGCTGGTCCTGCCCTTAAGACTCCTATTAGCACTTGGAGCAGTGCTGCCGCAGCTCGGTGTCCCAAAGGTGCTTTCTGAGCGTGCCCAGTCCCCAGCTGTCCCGACAGTCCTCTGCCAAGCCAAGCTGCACTCCCTGGACCCCAGGCCACCTTGGCCCTACTTTGCTGATTCCTAACCATTGCCTCTCCTATCCTGCCCAGAAACAAAGCAAGAAGGAGGGTCTACAGCCTCTGGCAAGAGTCTTGGGGCCCCTGACTCCTCCCAGGTCTCTCTGACTGTGTCATCTGTGAGGGACACCTGGCTACCTCGCTGTCTCAGGATCACAGTCCCACCCACATCCTGGTGTTGCCCATGTTGGAGAGGTCCTTGCAAACCAAACCCAGGGGAGGCACCTGCAGCAAGCTCCTCGTGCCCTGCAAAGCAGCTGTGTCTCCTCCATGCCCCTGGAGGTGTCTGGGTTTTACCTAAATCTCCACCTGCCCAGGTGACCTTCATTAACTTGACCAATCCATGCCACAACGGGGGAGCGAGTGAGGAGGTCCTGCCTGAGCATGGTTCAGGGTCAGGCCAGTGAACAGAACACCATGCTCCTTCGCCACCTGAGGGAGGTGGCTGCCCCCTGAGCCCCTGGGGCTGCCCTTCTGGATCTCCTGCAGGTGGCGGTGTATGGAGGGCTGCTCACAGAGCTGCACTGTGAAGACAGCAGTCAGGGCAAGGATCAGGAGCAAGTCCCAGAGGCGTGGATCCCTAAGAACTTCCCGCCTTCTCCCGCTCTTGCTGAGGCACCCTGCTGCCCAGGGGATCCTTGCGCAGAAAGGGGCTGGCTCTTCCGCATCTTGCGGGGTCCCTGGAGCCCGGCACTCCTGAGCAGCTGCTTCTCCCGCACGCCCTTGGAGGCATCTCGAGAAGCAGCTGCACAGACCACAGCAGCACAGGTGTGGCCGTGTTGGCCATGTTGTGGGTTCGTAATCAATATGGGAATCCAACTAGCCAGTTACGATTTGAAGGTCTTTTATCAGCTGAGCTCAGCGACCGTCAACATGGGCCTGTTTCAGAGTCCAAGTGAGCGGCCGCAGCAGAGAACAGAGGAGTATATAAATCAAAACGAAAGTGTGTAGCACACATCCCACGTGTCAAACAGATTTTTTTTTCTCTACATATGGCTTTTTCCTCCTGTTATTGCTTAGGGTCGGCGCTTTCTCGGGGTACATTTCCTCCTTCTGGCTACTTGTTTCACGCGGAGGCCTGCTTTGGGAACTCTGGGGTCAGCTGAGGTTATCATGGCAGTATATATGCTAAGAGTCTGGGCTCAGGCCACCACAGGCCACATGGGCAGGGCTCGCCTTTCAGGCGGTGACAGGAACAGGGATCAACCAGCGAGAGCGTGCAGAGCGGCTAGGAGGGGCTCTGGACAGCACTCCACCTAGCTGTCCTGCCAGCCCCTGGACTGCTGTGGCTGAGGGCACGGGCCGGCGCTCAGAGAGCAGCAGGAAAGCTGAGCCGACTGCTGAGGGCTGTCCAACAGCAGAGAGGAAACCCTGGGTCCCTGGCAGCATGAACCTCTGAGGTATGGGGGACCCCACCCCTATGTCAGCAGTGGGGAGGAGGGGACAGTGGGCTGGGCTGGGCTAGCCAACCTGAGTGTGGATGCCCTCCCTGGCATGTCACAAGCCTGAGAACTGCCCTCTGGACTCCAGCGTGGTCCCAGATGACCAGGCAGGAGGACTTCATGCACACAGCCCACAGGGCACCACCAGGCGCAGCCAGGCAGGACGGAGTCAGTGACCATAAAAATGGCACCATCTGGGTCAGCTGGGCCTTGGCAGCTGCAGGAACAGTCCTCCCGGCAGCAGGGCTGGCAACCTATCCCTGCTGGGCTTTGCCAAGAGCTGCCCAGGCACTGCCCCTCCTGGACCTGTGCTCTCAGAGCCTCCAGATGGGGTCAGAGCTCTGCAGGTACTGCCCAGGCCACAGAGAAGGGCCCCAGGGTGAGAGGAGCACAGGTGGGGACGCTGACATTGGGCAGAGCTCCACAGCACAGCTCCAGCTCCACATCCTGGGAAAGACCGTCACATCAGCCCTGTGAAGAGCAGCAGCAGCCTCGAGGCCCCGGCCATGGAATGAGTGCTTCCTCCCCACACAGGCCCAGGCCAGGCCCTGGGAGCAGCAGAGCCTGGTCTGCGTGCTCTGCCCTGCTATGTGTCCACGGGGGACGTTCCCTCCTATCCCACCACACACTCCACTCAGGGTGGGAACAACTGGAACCTAAGACACAGCACCTGCCCTCTTCCAGGGCAACAGTGTCCTACAAGAGGGTGTCTGTGCCCAGGGCACAGGTCCTCCTGAAACCCAGGCACAGTCAGGAGCCAAAGGGTCACCCTGAGACTGAGAGTGAGACACAGCATCTGGGGTGACCTGGGACACAATCAGGACCAGGAATAGTGGCATGGTGGGCCCACGAAGCCCCAGACAACACACCTGCTACAGTGGTGACAGCTTTGGGCTTTGACTGTGGCTCTGGTGTGTGGTCACAGAGTCCATCAGCAAACCCATAAACTGAGTTTTTCCCTTCTGGGCGCCCAGGGATGAGGGAGCTCGCTTATGCAGGTCTTAGCTGCCAATGCTTCCGTGTTAGAAATTAAACTGAGAATTACTTTTTTGAGACAGGTTCTCGCTCTGGCTCAGACCGGTTTGAACACTTTTTGTAGCCCAGGCTGGCTTCGAGCTCAGAGACTGAGAATTTCTTAAAGCACAGGCAGGCGTGCTGCTCGGTCAGGCTGCTGGCCAGGGAATGCTGGCAGCAGCCATGTCATGCCGCTGTGGGAAGCCCCCCTCTGGACGCTGAGAGCACAGTGTGGAAGGGCAGACACTGCCTCCTGGGTCGGAAGGTCGCCGTACTCTTGAGAACTCCTGACAGATTTCTGGAGCCCAAGCTGAGAACTGCCCAGTGACAAAGCCAGCAACACCAGGCCTGGCTTCCCAGAGAGACCCCGGGACCCCATCCCCTCGCCCCACACAACAGCCTCCCCGCCTGGGTCCTGTCCGTCCCAGCTGTGTCCCTGTCCTGTCAGAAGAGGTTTCTTCCTTGGGAATAGAGCCAGAAGTGCATCCCTGATGCAGATTTCCGCCGTGAGCCCCTCCTCTGCGTGACCCCTAGCTTCTCCTTGTCCCTTCCCACCCCTCTTGAACTGTCTCTGTCCTGTGTTTGTCTTCCTCTGCTCCTGTTCATATCTTCTGCTTTTCCTTTCAAAAACCAACTCCCCTTCTGCTCTTGGGAGAGGCCCCTCCCAAAACACACACAGCTCCCAAGATTCCCAAGAGACCATGCCACCGGCCTGGCCAAGGCGTACCCAGCGGCCCCAGTGGCTCAGTGAGATAACCTGTGCTCATGCACTCGGGGGCAGAGGTGTGAGCAGCCCCAGCCTTCAGTTGTGCTTCCTCCCCGTCCCTCTCTCCTGTGAGTATCCAGGTCCTCCGGGAAGGGGTGTTTGTTCTTCACCTAGCCAAGGAGCGTTCTGGCTGCTCACTGTTTTTACTTTACTAGTGCATGTTTGCAGTACCCTCAACCCCTAGCTGCCCGGGGAGTGGGTGTGTGTGCATAGCGCAGTTTGGTCCTTTTTGAATTCCCTTCCCTCCCCCTCCTGGTCCTCTAAGTGCCTGTTCCAATTTTCCTTCTTGTTGACATGGTTAATCTCGGCTCCTGCTGTGGCACATGATGTTTACAGTGTCGAAGTTGGCAAACCTTTACTCTACTTCCTCCCGTCCACTCTCCTCCCCTGCCCCTCCTCCCTTGCCCCTCCTCCCCCTTCTCCTCCTGCCCCTCAAGTCAGGGCCTGCTGTCCTCCCCTCTTGTGCTGCACTCCTCACACAGAGGCAGAGGCCAAGGCGGCTTTGTACTAAGACCTCAGAGAGCAAACCCAGCACTCTGGGCGCCAGACACCCTCAAGACTGGTAGCGCTCCCAGGCCTCAGGGTCGGGGGCCAACCAGCGGGTAGGAAGGGTGAAGCCCCAGGCTCTGTGGAACCCCGCCGCACCTCTTGACCTGCCCTTCCACTTCTGAGGAAAAGCGCTGCAATGTAGCGCTGTCCTAGTCTCAAGGGGCTGGTGCTCGATCCTGTCCTACACTGACAATGATTTCTACTCAGGTGCTTGACCCTGAGGACAGAAACCCACCCTGATTCTAAACCCAGGTGTGGTCAACATTATCAAAGGTATTGTTACATAGGTCTTGTTTTATCTTGGTCTTAATCATCCAGCAGAAAAGTATAAAAACGAAGTATAAGAAGTAAAGGCATGTTGTTATGTTGAGCTGTAGGGGACTCAGGTCAACAATTTCTGACATTGCCAGTGAAGTGGAACACCCAGTACTATTATGGACTACTGGACTCTTTTAGAATATTTTACTGAGCTAACACACCTATAATATTTAAATGACGGAACTAAACAAAAAAGGGGATACAGATGAATGTCCATTTTGTATCTGTGTATTCAAAGTGGTTAGGATAGATATATAGCTACATTCTCTTAATGAAAAGAATAGAGGGATTTGTTCTAATAGGTGTTTGCAAATAGGATATCATGTCTGTGTCTTGTACAGCAAATAACCACTAGGAAGGCAGTATGCAATGTGTTAATTATTGGAACTGTCCTACCAATTTGATTTGAAAGTGTCTCATTCCTATTTCTCAATAAAATTATGGGAAAAAGCCATTATCAAAGGTAAACTCTGTAATCAGCCTCAGGTCCTGTGATACCAGGAAAAAAGCTCTTGAAGGAGAAACCTACATGCTGTCATTTGGTCTGAAGGACCCACCATGCACTGGGGGCCTGGAGGAGCCAGTCCGA